CACACACACACACACTCACACACACACACACACACACACACACACTCACACACTCTCACACACACACACACACACACACTTCTGTGTCAGGCTCACTCTCACCAGCGTTACTTTTACTTGTGGAGAACAGTGCCCCCTCCCTCCACAAGTTCCCCTGAGTGGCGCTTCCCTCCGAGGCACACACACACATGCCCTGCTGTGGTGCAGATGAGCTGGTGGCCTTGGTGTCCTCAGAGTTCCATCTCCTGCTAGGTGGCTTCCCGACTGTAAGCCTGTCTGCCTGGTGGTCCTCCCCGTGGTGGTCCTACTTGAAGATCCTCTTCCCCCTCCTGTGGTTTCAGACGAAGCTGGTCCACCAACACTGGGACAGAGGTTCTTACCCGTTGCCTTGGCATGTGGGGGCCTGGCTGGCTTTCAGCGGGGCCGCTGAGGGACGTGGCGTGCTTCGAGCTTTGGCAGAGTCTAACAGGCGGTATTGGGATGAAGCAAAGGTTTTCTGCCTGACCCGGGGGCCTCTTGATCATGACTGAGGACACCCCAACCGTATTCCAGCTCTGTTACCCTGCAGGTGTCCTTTCCCCTACACACCCAGCCACATAGGAACGTGTCCTCGGTGTCACTGCTACTGTTACTAATGCCTTCATTACTGCAGGGAATGCCCCAGTTCAGGGCAGTGGCACTTCCAGATGTAGCCTCCTCTACCTCAGTGGTCACCTAGAATCTCTGGAGTACGTACTGATCTGAGCCCAGCTCCTTTGGATGTAAATGTAAAAGAGACGCTGCTGTGCACGCTTGAGGACCCGCGTCCAGGTCCATAGAACCCGTATAAAAACTGGCTGAGCATGGCATCCCACCTGTCACCCAGTATGTGGGAGATGGAAACAGGACCCCTGAAACAAACTGTCCAACTAGACTAGCTGACTTGGTGGGCTCTGGGTCCAAGTGAGAAACCCTGCTCTAAATATGAAGAAGTAGAAAGCCATACAGGAAGATACTTGAGGTCAGCCTCAGGCCTCCACATGCATATACACATTTGTACCCCCACACAGGTCTGAACATTCAAACACATGTACACATTCATACATATACAGAAAAAAATTTTTTTTTTTGGTTTTTCAAGACAGGGTTTCTCTGTGTAGCTTTGCGCCTTTCCTGGAACTCACTTGGTAGCCCCGGCTGGCCTCAAACTCACAGAGATCCGCCTGGCTCTGCCTCCCGAGTGCTGGGATTAAAGGCGTGCGCCACCACCGCCCGGCTCAGAAAAAAATTTTTTTAGGTAAAAGAAAATCTAGCTATGAACAATGATGTCTTTTTTCCCCCTAAAGATGAACTTCCCTTCCAATCCTAGTGCGAGTCATGTCTAATGCTCTTTCTAATGCCTTCTCCCAGCATCCCTGCCCTATCTGCTCCCCCAGCCTCCCTGTCCTGTTCTTTCCCCCAGCCTCCCTGCCCTGTCTGCTCTCCCAGCATCCCTGTCCCGTCCCCTCTCCCAGCACCCCTGCCCTGTCTGCTCCCCCAGCATCCCTGTCCTGTTCTCTCCCAGGACCTCTGTACAGTCTGCTCCCTCAGCACCCTTGTCCTGTCCTCTCCTCCAGCACCCTGGACCTGTCCTCTCCCCCAGCACCCTGGACCTGTCCTCTCCCCTAGCACCCCTGTCCTGTCCCCTCCTCCAGCCCCCCTGCCCTGTCTGCACCATGCTTGGGGTAGCAGGTTAGTTTGGTCTCATTTCATGTCGCCTATCAAGAAAAGAGTAAACTAAGAGGCGGTGCTAAGGCCAGGCGGTGGTGGCGCACGCCTTTAATCCCAGCACTCGGGAGGCAGAGCCAGGCGGATCTCTGTGAGTTCGAGGCCAGCCTGGGCTACCAAGTGAGTTCCAGGAAAGGCACAAAGCTACACAGAGAAACCCTATCTCGAAAAACCAAAGGAAAAAAAAAAGGCGTTGCTAAGCCCCCAACAATGTGCTCCTTTCTCTTTCTCCTGAAGAAAAAAAAAAACTTTACTCTTTTGTATCCTGGCCTTAGACACCAGACACACTGACTTCTGAAACGGTTCACTTGAGAAGAGGAAAGTGAAGTGGTAGACTAGCTCAGTGGTAGGTGTTGCATGCATTAGGCCCTGGCTTCCATTCTCAGGACTGGAGTGCGGCGGGAAGAAGCAGGGGTAGGAAGGATTGAGGTGGCAGGCTCCTGTCGTTTGGCCTGGTGACCCTTGGCTTGTGTCCTGGGCCATATCAGGGACAGGTTACCTTGCCAACTAGGATCCATTTTATTTTATTCATTTTTAATAAAAATGAGAAATACTTTATTCTGGAGCCATTTTGAGCAACTATGATCCAGGGACACGTATTTAGGTTACCCTAAGTTCCATGTTCCAACATGGAAACAGTTTTGTGACGCTTTAGCATTTTACAGAACAGAGAAAGTCATAAATCAAGGCCAGTTTAAAACACGTTAGTGGGTACACCAGAGAGGCAGGTACAGCAAGATGTTCACAGGGTGTTCATTCAGATACCGAGGCTGGCAAGAAATGGCTGTTCCAGAAGGCTAGAACTCACCCAAGACCAGCAGCATTCCAATCTCCACAGTACTGAAATTCTAATCAGCCAATCTCTGCAGACGCAGCTTCTTTCCAGGCATTCTTTCACAGCACCCCCTGCTGGTCAAGTACCACATTGTGTGCATGTGGGAGCACATATGTATTAAATACTATAATGTCCTTTGTAGCTAGAAATCTCTTTCCTAGGATCTGATATAAATGAGACTGAGTAGTGGGGCAGGATAGTAGTCTTCAGGAGAGAGGAAAAGTCATTAAGAAAGAAATTTCTGGATCATTTAAAAAACTATTAGCCATATTGGAATCTCTTTTAAAAGAGGTTGTATAGTGTAGCAAAGGCATCACACTGATTAACAGGTGAGAGAAATATTATCAAAGATTTCTCAGCCTGGGGAGATAGGTCACTCAGTAGTTTCATTATAAAGACCTGAATTCAATCTCTAGCACCCACATTAAACAAACAAGCAAAAACAACACACTAAAAGCTAAGGCTTGATGGATGGACTTCCATTCTGGACTAACTGGTGAGCCCCAGGCTAGTGAGAAACCCTGGGGGCGGGGGATATAACAGGGGCTGGTAAGCTGTCTCAGCAGATAAGCATGCTTGGTAACAAGCCTGAGAGCCTAAATTTGATTCCCCATAACATATATGGTGGCAGGAAAAAAACCAACTCTTCCACACAGGTGCCATAGTATGTATGCACCTGCACACACTACATAAATCAATGTTTTTAAAGGCAGGTGGTCCCTAAGGAATTTCACCCAAGATGTACCTCTGGCCTTCACATGCGTACATTGCACATGCACCCCCAAGTACAAATATGCATACACACACACACACACACACACACACACACACACACTTATAAAAAATCAAAATAACATTTAAAGAAAAATAGGGGAGAAATATGTTCCCACGGTGATTAAGATCAGAGGTAAAGCAGGACCTAGCCCCTGAGCAGGGCTGTGTGTGATGAGGAGGGAACCCGGGCGTCCTACTTGAGAGGCTCGGGTGCAGGACTCAGGTGCCCTCCTTTCTGTATTTGCATCTCGGTCTGTGGCCCCAGCACGGCCTCTGTCACTTTGGCTGCTGGTGCCGTTTTAAGCAGCCTCAGTCACTCGGCCTCTGCTTTGACAAGGAACCTGGATTGAGATTCTCATGCATCAATCATCGGGGTCCCATGTGTTTCTGCAGCATATGAAGCAGAAATGTGGATTGAATATGTGCTTCAGGACCTGGGCAGTAACCGTACTCAATGGTACGGTTCTCGCTTAGCATGAACAAGACCCTAGGTCCAATCCCCAGTATATCATTCAGTATCTCTTCACAAAACCCTGTAAAACAATGGCAAAAACTGATGTTACTTTGAAGAAACAATGGATTTTAGAGCAACCTGGTTGTTTGTTTTGAAGACTCTGTTCTTTGTTGAGTGCTAATATGGAGCGACTTCTGGGATGAGAGCCTTGCATGGAGACCAGCTTGTCAAGGCGACATCTCACCCTCACTCGCCAGCCTCCGATCTAAGCTCAAAATGTGGGGCTGTCCTTGGTTGCCATTTGACCTCGGTCATCTGTATGATTTATCTGAGCCCCAGTTTCCTCAGCATTACAGTGGAGATGTCATTTCCCCGCAGGGGAGGAGGTGGGCCTGCAGGGTCCTTTGGAGGTCATGCATGCATGCAGAGTCAGCTTGCTCCCTGCCCTTGAGATGCAGCCAGTAAAGTCATGTTGGCATGGTAGCTGTCGTTTTTTATTAAAACAACTTATAAGTGTCTTGCAATTATATGAAACTGCTTGTTTTTGCTTTGTTAACTTGATTTTTAAGGTTAGCATGTTCTCTCCTCACACATGCTAATAAAGAAAGAGTACTGTTCGTGTTTATTGCACAAACTGATGGGGCATTTTGGAAGAGTCTGTCAATAATTCCTGAATCACTGTCCAAATTCTTTCTGGAAACAACTGAGAACAGTTGAATAGGAATATAGAACAGGTTATCAAGAAATCACAGGGAAATGTATAAACGTACAAGGAAGAAATTACACCCCACACCAGTCTAAAGATGCATCTCCCTCAGCCCCAAAGACTTCTGGGAGACACTGTGATTGACAGCCCTCACCTGCACCATGTGGTTGTCAGCGTACTGATTCTTTGCAGGCTTATGTTGTGACTTTGCTCGTGTGCCATTGTCTGGATCTGGCATGCAGCTCGCTGGTCATTACCACATGAGAGCCCTGCCCAGCCAATTGGCTCTCAGAGTCAGGTCCCACCAGCACCACAGCTATCCATGGTGGTGCCAAGGCTCCATCTGTTGGTATGTCTGTACCTGCTTGCCCAGTTGCAAGTTCTAGATCCCTAGACCACTAAATTGCCAAAGGCATGCTTTTCTTTTCTTTTCTTTTTATGAAAATTAATTGCACTTTTAGGAATTAATGCCTGAGAAATTGCCATGTCATATACTTGACCAATATTTTCAAACATATGCTGTGATTATTTCCTCTCCATCAAGAGAAATTCAAGAGTAGGAAAGTTTGTGGCGAGCAATCAGAAGCCTTTTTGTCACACACATGACATGTTAAATGAGTGTAGAAGTCATGTGCTTTAAAGATCAGTTTGTTCAAGTTCCTAGCTGTGTGTTGTCCTGGATTTCACAATGGTTTCACATCCAGTTCCACCCACATCAAGTACCAGGAGGTTTGTGATACACACAGGAAAACATGAGGATGCGTTCATCCCATGGAAGAAGGTAACAGTGAAGGTTTATAGTTAGCAGTTAGCTGAAGTGTTACCCAAAAGCAAACCAGGAGGATTTCCTCTGTGAACCCTCAGGCCTGTCACAGAGAGCACAGAACCAGCTGGATTCTGAGGCAGGAGATGTTTCTTGCCTAGAGAAGCCCTGACTGGTACTGGTGTGGACTCCTCTCTTTTATCAGCTACTTCTAATGCCTTGCCTCTTTTCTTGGCTCACCAGATCCAGTTCAAAATGTGGTTCAGGTCCTGGAGAAGCAATACCTGGAAGAGAAGAGGACCGCCCTGGAGGAGCAGCGGCTCATGTATGAGCGTGAACTGGAGCAGCTTCGCCAACAGCTCTCCCCAGAGAGGCAGCCTCCGAGCAGCGCCACCGACCGCCTGGTTTACAGCAGCCAGACAGCCCAGCAGAAGGTGACCCAGTGGGCTGAGGAGAGGTAAGAATGGGGACAGACCCTGAGTCAAGGATGAGGGCTGGGGCTGGAGAGGCCTGTGAAGGGAGGACACACCTGGAAGAAGGAGACTCCAGGCCCACTTCTTATTTGGCCATTGGTGTTTCATTTCAGAGATGTGTCCTGAGAATGTCACGACAGTGTCAGCTACTGTAGACCACCCACGTCCCCAGATCCCTAATCCTTTACCCTTCAGTACAAACAGTGCCAGAGTAGAAAAGTTAGATCTGTGGGCCTTGAGGTAGCAGAAGTTTGAGTGATCCTTGAACAACAACAATCTGAATATGCAGACAGAAGGTAGGGAGATTTTTTTTTTTTTCTTATAGAAGGTTTTGGTGCTTGGGGCCAGACCTTTCTCCATGTTAACCATGTCTACTGCCTCTGAGAACACCCCTCCTAGCCCCAGGTTGTAGATGGTGGCTTGGCAGAAACAAAGCAGTAGAGAAAAGCGAGGAGTGTTTGGAAGCATGTGAGCAAACTGTTTGGTTGAGACTGGAAGTGATTTGTAGAGGAGTCGAAAAGCATTTGATTGGGCACGAGAGAGACGACAAACAGATGTGAGAGATGACAACCAGGGATGCTTGGGTTTTGTCCTCTGAGAGAAGCAGTCCCCTGCTAGACTTGAGCAGGGGGACTGCACCAGGAGCAGCCTGAGAAAGGTAGGTGTTTATAAAGGCTATCAACTAGCAGCTGGGCCTTAATGATGGATGGATGGATGGATGGATGGATGGATGGATGGATGGATGGATGGATGGATGGATGGATGGATGGATGGATGGACGGACGGACGGACAAAGGAATAGATGGAGGAGGGGAGCAAAAGACTGGCAGCCCTGGCTGTCCTGGAACATTCTGTTGTAGCCCAGGCTGGCCTTGAACTCACAGAGATCTGCTGCTCAAGTCCTAGGATTAAAGGCATTCACCACCATGTGCGGTGCCTGGGTGTTTTTGTTTGTTTGTTTAACATCAACCCTCAACCCCTCAATTCTGTCCCCAGTGGTGGTTCTCAGTGTCCTCCAATCTGTGGACAAGAGAGGAAACTTCCTGCAAGGAGTTTTGTTGTTGCTGCTGATGTCTGCCGCCCTTTTCTGACAGGAACAGAACTCGAGTTTACTTTCACCTGCCTGTGCTTGCTTTTCTTCAACACCACAGGGATGAACTCTTCAGGCAAAGCCTGGCCAAGCTTCGAGAGCAGCTAGTGAAAGCAAACACTCTGGTGAGGGAAGCCAACTTCCTAGCTGAGGAGATGAGCAAGCTCACCGACTACCAAGTGACTCTTCAGATCCCTGCGGCCAACCTCAGTGCCAACAGGAAGGTAGGCATGGCCCTAGGGAGTGGGAGAGCAGGAGGTAGGCCAGTAAATACTGCAGACCGGAGTCCCGAGCTCATCTCTGTCCTAAGGGGAACCAGGGGTTGGCTCTGGAAGCCTTCGAGTTGGACTCTACTCCCTGGGTAAGCGTGCTGTGTAAGCGGTGTCCTTAGAGAGAATGGAAGCAGAAGGCCGGTGGTGATTATGCCCGCTTTTCTTTATGCAAATGCCCCTTCTGCAGTGGGTCTGTATGTGTGCCTAGTTGGACTGCCTTTCTAAGAGTGAATTCTCTGAGGAGGAGAAACATCTTTGAAATCTGCTATTACACATATGGAACTCCTTGCAGCCATCTGGAAGACTCCTATCATTTCAACTTAAAGAAATTTTGCTCTGAGAGAGAAACCTGGAAGAAAATAAATTTCCGTCTATTTTTTTTTCCTACCCAGCTAACAAGCTGGAAAGGAAAGCGGAGTGTGGTGAGTGGAGAGAAGGCTCACTCAGTTAACCACTTGCGCTCTGCCAGAGGACCCAAGTTTGGTTCCTAGCACACACAGTGACTCACAGTTACCTGTAACTCCAGTTCCAGAGATCCAGTATCCTATTCTGGCTCTGGGGCACCAGGCACACACGTGGCGGCGCACATACATGCATGGAGGCAAAACACACATATACATAAAATAAAAAAGGTTGTATTTTAGAAATTTAAGAAAGCTAGGTAGGAAGTATCTTATTGGGTTTTGGAGTTCTAAGGCCACAGACATAGGCATGTGCATACCTTCAGGTTGTGTACAAGGATTCTGTGATAGATAGTAGTCCCTTTATTCTTTAATATTGACTGATTGATTATTTGAGGCAGGGTCTCATAATCCCAAGCCACCCTTCACTTTGTAGCTAGGATGACCTTGCACCTCCGACCCTCGTGACTTTACCTCCCAAATGCTGTCATTACAGGCATGCACCACGTCTGTTGTAGGTGGTGTCGGGAGGTAGAAGCGAGGCCTTTGTGTGTGTTAGACAAACCCTCTGTCAGCTGAGCTGCCTCCCCAGCCCTCACGGCGGCCTTTATGTAACAAAAACTTCAAGTACCCTTGCAATTGAATAATATGGTGAATTCCTATGCTACTATTAAAAAAAAAATAGTGTGTGCATGGGTATACCTAGAAGAGAAAAAGTGGCCAGAACATTCCTTAGGTGGTAATGCTTTATCATCTTTTGTAAACTTACAGCCTCACTGTCATGTAGACAAGCTTTAGCTGTCACAAGGGAAGTCAAAATCATGTCCACTTGGTTTTTCTTCATTGTACAGAGAGGGGCAATAGTGAGCGAGCCAGCCATTCAAGCCAGGAGAAAAGGAAAGAGCACCCAGGTTTGGACCATCGAGAAGCTGGAGAATAAATTAATTGATATGCGAGACCTTTACCAAGAATGGAAAGAAAATGTCCCTGAGGTAAGAGAAACAAGGCGGCAAGGAGATGCGACTGTATTCAAACCACAGATGAAATGCTCTGGTCATTTAGGGAGATAAAACGTCATCCTTAAGGAGTGCCAGGCATGGTATGATGGCGCATAATTCAGACAGGTGGAGGGGGCTCCAGGGACACCCAGCAGGTCTTATTTGGCCTTGTCTTCACTGCTTCTCAAGTGAACAGAGGAGGAAAGAAGTCTACATGATGCTAGTCTGTGTCCTAGACCGGCTGGAGCCAGTGTGGATTTCATCTTCATCCGAGTCTGCGCATGTGCCCTGAGCTGTGTGTGCCCCGAGCTGTGTGTGCCCCGAGCTGTGTGTGCCCCGAGCTGTGTGTGCTCTGAAGCTGTACTCACAGCTGGGTAGATTTCTAAATGTAATTGTAGTGCATGTAACATTTTGTTTTGTTTTTAACACTTGACATTAGTAATAGGAAAATGTGGTGCAGGTTACAGGGCATGACAAGAAGCAGGCTGTAGGTGTGATGTGAGCGGAGCTGCGTCTCCTCTGCATGAGCCGCCCCTGGCAGACATGCCCCACTCATGGGTTTATGTGGGCATGATTCTGGTTTTACTTCTTGTTTATTTCTATAAATGTTTCCTCTAAAGGCATTTTTAGTGCTGGTTTGAAATAACATGTTTTAAGTTGATGCTTTGTTTCCTGACCTCTCACTCAGTGGCCTGCTCTACTTCTCAGGCCAAGAGGCTCTATGGGAAGCGAGGTGACCCTTTCTACGAAGCTCAGGAGAATCACAACCTCATTGGTGTGGCTAATGTGTTTTTGGAATGTCTCTTCTGTGACGTGAAACTTCAATATGCAGTACCCATCATCAGCCAGCAGGGGGAGGTAAGGACACACCAGCCCCTAGAAAATGACAGGTGTGAAATTTTGCTAATCTCTGCCTTGGGGAGATCAAGATGCTCTGCGTGAATGCATGCATGTGTGTTTGTGTATGTGTGTAGGAGCTGGCACCTTCCTGGGATAACTCTGCTCTGCTGACCACCGATGTTTTTCCCCATGTTAAAAATACAATGTGAGAGGCCAGTGGACCCTGTGGCGGGGCTCTGGAGTCCCTGGCAGACTCTGGGTATCTGAAATTACATTAAAAATGCACTCAAGGCTCAGAACTCAAACACTTGCCATGTGAACCTAATGACCTGAGTTCAATCTCCAGTTCTCAGAGTAGGAGAAGAGAAAGGGCTTCCAAATATTTTCCTCTGGCCAGCACAGAAGTGTGCTGTGGTATACACACACACACACACACACACACACACACACACACACACACACACACAAATAACGATGTATTTGCTCTCAAACAAGCATTGTAGGAAGCACTGCACTGCTGTGTATCGATCCCTCTTTCCCTCCTTCCTTCCGCCCCGTGATTCTCACTTCTCAGATACCATCAGCTAATTCCTCTCCGATCCTTGGCCCCAGTGCCAGCTGCTATGTGGAAGCTGGGTCTGAGCATTAAGCATAACCAACCCTGAGCCTGGTGTGGTGGCTCATCCCTGTAATCCCAGCACTCAGAAGCTGAGGCAGGAAGATCATGTATTTGAGCAGCCTCAGCCGTCTCAAAAAGGAGAAAGGAATACCGCCAAACTGGACCCATGCCAGCAAAACACTTCCACGGTCGGAAATATAAATGTTCTAATAAAAATGGCCTGAAAAGAGCAGTTATTTAGGGGCTGGGGAGATGGCTCAGCAGTTCAGAGTGGCTGCCACTGTAGAGGGCCCAAGTTCGAGTCCCAGCTCCCCCATGAGATGGTTCACAACTGCCTATGACTTCAGCTCTAGGGCGATCTGATATCCTTGACCTCTTTGGACACCAGCACTCAAGTGCACAGACCTACACACATACACGTAATTAAAAAACTAAATAAATTGGACAAAAGAATTGTTACCCAGAGATGAGAGTGGGGATGCGCGTGCCTGTGATAGAAGCACTCAGGAGGCTGAAGCAGGAGGATTGCTCAGTGAGGTCAGCCTGGGTTATATAGGGAGCCCTATCTCAGCAAATCAAGACCTCACAAAAACCAGCGAACAAAAGAACTGCTTTCCCGTCCCTGTCCGTCTTGGTTCATGTGGTTCCTTCTGGAACAGGAGCTCATTGCCACCCGACAGAGCCCTTTTTCATGCAGCTCCATGTTACATACCATCCACGCTCCCTGAGCTAGGGGACCGTGTCTGCCTGGTGTTGGAAATACAGTGCTTGGCAGAGTTCCTGCGCCCCTCAGTTCTCAGTAAATACTTGCTGCATGCATGTGCATACATTTATCCCATGCACATCCAATGCCTATATGTCAACTGCTTTATCCTGTTGTTACTGGGTTCTGATTTCTCTGCTGTCTGTCTGTTCACTGGCAGCAGAGCCCACTCCTTCCCTTGGTGTCCCAGGACGCTAGGTCTTTCATGGAGTGAATAGGTTACCCAAGCACATGATCGAATAAATGCATATGTAACTACATAAACATTACAAGACCGAAGGTTCCAGTAGAATATGATCGATCCCTTGAAGCTGTACCTTGCCTAAGCCGAGGGAAATGGATACACCTAAGGATAGTTCCAAAAAGCAAGTTGGAAGGGGACAGATTTGGCTCCGAGTAAGAAAGGAAGGTTGCAGAGAAGCATGGCCCTGGGAGGGCGGGTTTTGGGTCTCCCTCCTGGAAAAGGCTTGGGAGGGAGGGTCTCACACTGCTGGAGATGGCCAGGGTACGCCTTTGAACTCTGAGATGTCTTGTGCCTTGATCCAGGTTGCCGGGCGTCTCCACGTGGAGGTCATGCGTGTTACCGGGACCATCCCAGAGCGAGTGTCGGAGGATGACTCTTCGGAGAACTCTAGTGAAAGCGGAAGTCTTGAGGTCGTGGACAGCAGCGGAGAAGTCATTCACCGAGTCAAGAAGCTGACGTGCCGGGTGAGGGGACAAGGATCAGGGGGCTCATGTAGACCCCCACAATGCCAGACTATTCGCACCAAGGTTCCCGGGTCCTTCATCCAGCACAACAAAAGCCAAACTGTCTGACAGGAGCCACAGTTCTGAGCAGCACTTCTTCTAGAATAATCCTCTCATGACCATGGTGTGAAATTCCCCAAACGTGGACCCTCTGCCTTCAGTATCTAGGCAAAAGTGGTTTCAGGATGCCCTCCACATAGCCAAATCCACATGTATGCCAGTCCCCCTTATACACAATGGGCTGTGTTTGCGTATCATCTATGCACATCCTTCTACACACTTTTTTGTTGTTGTTATTGTTTTTTGTTTTTTGTTTTTTTGTTTTTCAAGACGGGGTTTCTCTGTGTAGCTTTGCGCCTTTCCTGGAACTTACTTGGTAGCCCAGGCTGGCCTTGAACTCACAGAGATCCGCCTGCCTCTGCCTCCCCAGTGCTGGGATTAAAGGCGTGCGCCACCACCGCCCGGCTCCTTCTATGCACTTTTAATAATCACCGGTAGAATAACATGTAGTGCAGTGCAAATGCTGTGTAATAGTTATAGCACAGTTTTAGTCGGCTTTCATTTTCAAGATTTATTTTATTTTTTATTTTTAATAGATTTTTGCGGCAAGGTCTCTCAATTATGTAGCCCTGGATGTCCTAGAATTCACTATGTAGACCAGGCTGGCCTCCCAACTCACAAAGATCTGCCTACTTATGTCTCCTGAGTGTTGGAATTAAAACCATTCACCACCACACCTGGCACTAGTTGGCTTTAATTTTCTATATGACACAGTCTAGAGTCACCTGAGAGAGGAATTGCATTGGTGAAATTGGCTGGTGGACCTGTATATGGGAGCTTGTCTTGATTGTTAATTGATATTAAGAGAGTCCAGCCTACTGTGGGAGGCACCATTCCCTTGGCAGATTGTCCTGAGCTGTATAGCTAGCCAAGCATGAGCCAGCCAGTAAACAACATCCCTCCATGGTTGCTGCTTCAAGTTCTTGCCTAGACTTCCCTCAAGGATAGTCTGTGTCCTATAAACTGAAATTAACCCATTCCTTCCCTAAGTTGCTTTTGGTCATGGTTTTTATATCAACAGAAAGTAAACTCTAATAGTTGCTTTGAGAATAATGACAAGCTAAAGTCATGTGTCAGCATGATGCAGTTGTTTGGGGTATGGCTGATCTATTGGCTAAACCACAGAGGTCAAATCTACAAAGAGAGAGCATGGAGAATATATTATTGAATTGTGTTCTTCTGATAAAAGTTACATCGGGATCAGAAACTCGGTCATCAGTAAAATTATACAGGAATGTGCTTTTTTTCTTCACAAATAAATAAATAAATATAATTTTTCTTAAAATTTGAAGATGAGCCCATACACTAGACATGATGGCGCACATCTTTAATTCCAGCACTCAGGAGGCAGAAGCAGGCAGATGTCTGAGTTTGAGGCTTCCATGGCTTATAGTTTTAAAAAAGGATGGACTGGGAATACAGCTCAGTCTATGTAAGGCCTTAAGTTCACTGCAAAAGATAGGGGATGGATGGATGGATGGATGGATGGATGGATGGATGGATGGATGGATGGATGGGTGGATGGATGGGTGGGTGGATGATTGATAGATAGATAGATAGATAGATAGACCGACAGATAGATTGATAGATTGCAATGAATGGTCTCAAATATTTTTTTTTTTTTTTTTTTTTTTTTT